GTATTCGAACCTGTAGGTCAACAATATTTCGCGAATATTGTTGAGCTCGTAACCAGAATGGAAAACCACTACTAATACAATAAATACCTTGTCAAAAACACGAAAGTGTGGAAAAGACGCGTTCGAAAAAGTTTTAGAAGGATAGAAAAGTTGTTTGGAATTCGAGCATTACTTTAGGTATGAGGAGGAGTATGAAGGGAGGAAAATGTGTGTAAGAGTTTGAATTTGCTGTTGCTTTATAATAAAAAAAAAAAAAAAAAAAAGATGTAAGATCAGTTTTCAATTGGTGTATCAGCGTAATGATGGATAATTTTTTTTTTTTTACTCTGCGTAATAGATAATTAATATATTTTTTAGTCCTTTACATATTTGTTATTACTAAAAATAGCAAGTAGTAAATATTTAACCACTTCTGACTGCAGAATGATCTCGTGTTAGTGAGTCATCAATGAGAGATTCATGAGAAATTAATGTAGACAGTCTATATAAATTTGATCGCTAAAGAGAAAGAAAATAAGAGGTAAACAAGTAGATAAAAATTCTTTTAACTGTACCTTTTTTTTTTTCCTGATTTATTTTATTCTATTTTTCGATCTTTGAGCTAAATATTTTCTTTCAAGAATTGCAGCTGTCAAACATCAAATATTGATGACATTTGACGTTTATTAATTTTTACTTATTAGGAAACGTTACATTTTTTTTTTTTTTTTTTATGTAAAAAAAAAACCCTGTTTAAACCTGGATCAGGGGAAAATTTCGATTTTTTTTTTTTTTCACTTTCATATTTTAATTTTCTTTTTTGAAAAGGATAATAAAAACTATAACCTTTGAACACATCTCATAGTTTCCTTCGAATTTTTTGTTCAAAGCACCTTTCTTAGTTATCGATTTATAAAATTTATCGAGAGAACATTCTTATCATTGCCAAATTTAGACACATGAATTTTCATTACGTGATGCTCCAATTTATATATCACTGACGTAAAATTCGGAATACAGATTTCCCGCATAAATACGCATAAATCAGAAAACGTGAAATTTATGGTCGATCGTGTGAAATGTATATTTTTACGGTAGTGAAACATGAACATGTTAAATAAATTAAATCTTTTTATATTTATATTAGTTTTACAGTAAGTAATATATAATTTCTAAAAAATGCAATAGAGAATATGCAGGATAATGAGTTTTATTACAATAATAAAAATCAAATCGCAAAAAAAAGACATTCCGTGGGTTCATTAAATATAATAATTTGCCAATGATGTTTCAACTACTGTAAACCTGAGCTTGCTATCGTGAGGAAATCAGAAAGGATTTCACCCACGTCGGAAGTTTTGTGATTCAAAAGGAAGTTCTCCATAGCGAATTGTATACATAAGAAAGCAGCACAAACAATAGAGGAAAATTTTTGCTGAGCGATGTTGGGAATAATGTTTTGACAGGTTCAAATGCTTGGAATAGAACAGTAGGTGGGTTTGGTAGAACTATTCCTGAGAAGATGTACATTATTGGTAAAGGATCTCTGAATTTTCCAAATTGATGACATTGCCATTTATTTATTTATACACAGCCGCTAGAAAATTTAACCAAGGATTCTTTGTTATAATTTCATAATTACATATTTTAGTAAATTTATTATTTTTTTCTAACAGCATTGGATTGCCGAAAATAAATAAAACAAGAAGGAATGATTCGCGATTCATTTTCATCCGCCAGAATAAAAACGAATTTCAAACGGATTCATGATATACTGCGGCTACGATGGCTAATGTTAAATTGATTTATACTATATTAATGAATCAAAATAAGCAATTATTTATATTGATTATAATTCTTCACCTATTTTTTTTTTTGTATTAAATAAAATGAGAATGGGTGAAACACCGTCAATATATCTTGAAGTTTCACAAAAATATCCCTTTACGTTGAAACTATATTATCTCATACAATCCATAATCGAATCTGATAAAAGGAAACCAGTGGTAAATATGATAAATTATCAACCATTGAAGTTCCAAAAATAGCGTTTGTTGAAAATCCCGTTACCATTTTTTTATTAATAAATTATTTTCTTTTTCATAATAATCATTAATAACGTTTCACCAAAGAAAACAAATATTTTTGTTCAAAACAAAAAAAAAAAAAAAATGGACGTACCAAAGACTCCATTTATTAAATAAAGTAACGTGCATATGTTTTGAAAAATATTACATTATTTATGAATCATAAATAAAAGGTTACGAGTTACTTTGACAGGTGGAAAATTATGGTCTTTTGTAAATAATATGTAACAAAATTTTGTTATGTAAATCGATAACAAGGTAAATGAAATAAAAAATTAAAATATTTCAATAATCATTACATACATTCATTAACATATATGATAATTTAAATTCCTCGTTTTTTTTGTCAAACACGTGTCATGAGAAAATTTCAAATCCATATATATATCTACTACAAGAAACCGAACCAAATTATAAATGATATAAAATTTCTATTTCAAGAAAATATAATAAATAATAATACATTAATTATTTATCGAAAAATTTCGTAAATAAATCTCATGCTGTAAAACTTTTTTATAAATAATCTTTTATAAGATTATATGCCTTCTAATTCAAGGATAACTTCATATCGGATCGAACAATCAACAATTATTTGCCCAAGAATTTTTTGTTGCTTGCATATTAACTGTTATTAACTGCATGGTTTAGGTGCGAGATAGATAAATTTCGAAATTCAAATGTTGAAGAAAAAATGAAAATGCAAAAATTATTTTTATTATTTGAAAAAGTTTACTTTTTTGTTTGTTAAAAAAAAAAAATAGAAAAAAAATAGTTACATGAAAAATATAAATGTAAAAGAAAAATATAACATGAATTGAATTGAATATGAATCTATCTATTGATATGATCATGATTTTCAACTTTATCGCTTGAATCATTAACAACTTGTAAATATAATACAAACGCAAACATCACGAGTCGTACTCCCTCCTATTCACTTAATTCAATGTAAGGATAAAAATCAGGATCTTTTTTATGCTTTTTACACTCTAGGGGTTCAAAAACACCAAAATGTTTTTTAAATTTTCTAGGTAATTGAAAAGTCATGAATTGATTATCACAAGTTCTATATCCAAGGCTATTAAATAATATTCTTCTCGTTATAGAAGGAGGGGTGGGTGGTAAGGGTAAAGGCAACACTTGTACTTGTCTACTTCTTTCAATGAATTCTTGATTGATCCTTAAATCATGATCGGTAGGTTTGTTACACTCATCACAATGTAGGTAACCTGAAGTGAATTCTATATTGGCCAATTTGGTCAGAGAATTCGTGTAGGAATTGTACTTGTTGGTCAAAGAATCCCGAGTATATGAGGAAAGTTGAGAAAAGGTTCCTTTTCTTTTATACTCTGGAAATTTGTCTAGGACCAATTTGGATGATTCTTTGTAAAGGGATCTAAAATTATATATATCAGCGAGCAATAATGAATACAAAGGATTCCTACGAAATTCTCTCTCCAGGAACATTTTCGCGCTTGTTAAGACTGAATCAATGATGTATTTTTCTGAAAATCTCAAGAATTCACCGACGTTATTCCAATCTATCATGATGTACGTATTTGGATAGATATACGATAATAAATCTTCGAATGTCTTGCTCTGTTCTCCCTCTAATACTATTTCCGGTATATTCTCCTCATCGGAAGGTGAATTTGGAACAGCACAAGTAAACATGTCATAAAACATTTTTGAAGCTAATCCTATAATATTCTTGTGTATGCGAAATATTGTGCTCTCTACGATAAATAAAATATCTCCGTCCGAATAATAATGTAATTTACTATTTTGTTGAGACATGTTTTGATGGCTTTTTTTTTTTTCTTTTTTCTGGTTTTTTTTTTTTTTTTTTTTTAAATATCAGGAAAAAAAAAGAACTTATTTATACTTTGGAATTTTTTTTTTCCCTGTTTATTTATTTATAATGTAACTCATAGATTTTGATGGTTATACAGTATATTACCTTTTTTCCTAGATTTGGAACAATAACACAAAAGGATATTTATCAAAAAAAAAAATTGTTTGTGCTCGTTGTTTAACCAATAGTACAGAAATTTAAGAAATTTGCAAAAGTTGAGCTAATTGGTTTAAAATCAATATTACAAATAATTCATTTGAACTTCTCACATTGCCTTATTTATAAGATCTCTTTGAACTGGAATTAACAAATTTATTTCCCATTGTGAATCTCTGGTTCTGGTTCGGAACAAATAAGAATAAATAAGAATGATTTTACCGTGCCGTTCGGCTAATCGGAGTAAGTGGGCATAAATGGTCCAGAATTACATATGTATATAAATAAATATAAACCGGATGATCTCATAACCTATATTTAGACGCTCGATATGATGTTATTCGGCATTTTGTGAATGAATGAGTTTGATGGTTTGGGAAATGGTCGATTTGCATTCGACTTGATCATGCGATCGATTTACTCTAATTAAACAAAGCTCATGAAATGTTGGATTGGTTGTCAAATTAAAGGTTTCAACGATCGTTTCTTTTGGATTACCAGCATCCGCAGCAAAGCAGAGTTTATTTATAGCAAATCGAAAATAGAATTAATTTCCGGTTTTGGTGCATATCTTGGTGAAACCACTTTTTTTTTTTTTAAGGAAAAAAAAAAAATGAACAGGTTACTTTACAATGCTATCCATAACAATTGAAGTGAATTATACTATCCTAATTAAGTACGTAGAAAAATAAACATAAATAATAAATAAATCCTTTTTGTTAGAAAAACCTTTAAGATTCAACCGGTTCTAAAAATTTCTTTGTTATTTAAAATGGCACTAACCGAACTAACTTTAAAGCAAGATGATTTGCACCTTCCCTTTCTTAGTTAATTTTGAATTCTGTTCGAAAAAAAAAGAGGATTTCAATGATTTCAAAACGGGTCGGGTAGAAAATGGGATAATGTTAGTTCTCGAAATTTCACATCTCATAATTTCTTTTGCACATACATGCACATTATGTTGTTTTGTGTAATCACCTGCAACTCAATCTGAATAATTTGTAAACGAAGTTACACAATTTACAATAAAGAATTTTATAGTTATGGTTATTTATAAATAAACATCTTGGTGTGCCAAGAGATTTTCTTGTTTGGCCAATTAAGGTTTAATGGATGTTTCCCGATATATTTAAAACTTGTTAACAATTAAACAAACCCCTAAGAACTTTTTTTTTCTTTTGTGGTAATAAAACGATAAGAACTTAATAATATTCTGTCAGAGAAAGCGCACAAGAAAAGTAGTAAAAGTAGGTTTTTTTTTTCATATCCAAACGATCAATGTCATTTTCAAGCTGGATATTTTGGAATAAATCCAAAAGCTTCATCGAAACACTTATTAGCATCCAAAATCAATTTTGTATTTATTGGCATGAAAAAAGTTTGATGGGATGATTTTCCAAAACATGGCACCGGAGTGTATAAGGGAAAAAAACAAGGGAAAAAAACCGTATTTATTTGAAGCAAATTCACCTCAAAACCTGATGGTGATTATATTCAAGTAATATGGGATTTATCTTCGAATCAGACTACCGGAAAATTTGCCCTCCGTTGCGGTCAAAAAAGGAAAGATCTGATAGTTATAAAGAGAATATGTATGTGGAAACTTAAAGGTTCATTGAATTTTCTACTTATCTTCCAATTACATGGTTGCAAATCTATTGTAGTCAAATGATCCCAAGCTAAATCTTGTGGACTGAGTTATATAGTCACATTGATGAATTATATTGGAAGCCCAAATATACCCTTTATTGTAAACATTCAATTAAAATTTCATCGACAAGATGTTAAATAACTTTTTATATTAAAGAATATCGGAAATTTCATCAAGGTACTTCCAATTGGTACAAGTTTGGATTGAAAGAAATTTGTGTTGGTCTTTAAAAGATAGAAAACCGTATCAAAATCTAAATTAATTGTGGTCGAATTGATAATAATGGTATCAAATTACAGGAAATCGAAGTAGATCTTATTGTTATCTGTGAAATTTTTTTTTTTTTTGTTTTATTTAGTTCAAGATGAATGTCCCTGAATTTCTTAATTGTAACATCCATAGAAATAGATAACTATGAAATTTCTAAATATGTTCTAATGGTAACAAGTGGAATGTTTGATGACTCAGTATATCCCGAAGTTGAACACATATTTCATCATACTATTGTTTAGCTATGTACTTTATTTTTTCTGATCATGGTACATACCCGTCCCATTAAGCATAAATCATGAGAGTTCGAAGAAAATCATAATAATTCGATCTTCTTTAGATTTGATGATCCGACCTATCCTTATTTTAAAATACGCCATAGGATATGCAAAGCTTCGGTAAATTCCAGATAACAGAGATAGCATGCATTAATTTTGTTCCAACTCAGGCTTGGCTTATTAATATGTTTAAGTACCACTATTATGAACCTCGTGCCAAAATTTTTATTGCAGTCGCATGACCAAATATTTTGTTTGAAAGAGTTATTATTTTATGTAAAAGAATCAAAGAAGATATTCATAGTTTAACTTTTTATTGTTTTTACTTTAATTTTTATTTTTTAATCTTTATTTGTAATATCATAACATAAATTTAATAAACTTATGACAGTACCACATCGAAAAAAAAAAAACATAAATAGAATTTTCCGGAATTATCATAATCCCGACGGAAAATAGATAAGAATATCATGTTAATAAGAAATAAGTTGCTATTAAAAAAAAAATTGTAAATATACGCTACAAATTGTTTTGATAATTAGCTATTTTGGATATTGAAATCATATATAATTCTTTAATTTTTTAAAAAAAGTACAAAAAGTTAAAATGCATATCTTAACCATATTATTTTCATATATAACAATTGAAAAGTTTTAAAGAAAAGTAACTTATATTCAATATATCTGAACATATTCTTTTATAATCATAATCTTAGTTACTAAACATTTTTATATACATTTTAAAATATCTTAACTTGTGCTCTAAAAATAAACTGACAAATCAAGTTGTATATTATTCTATCAGAATTATTTTAAATGAAATAGAAAAAGCCATTTTTTGCAATATTTTTTATATTAAGTATAATGAATAGGTAACAAAAAAAGAATAGCAGAAAATTCTCAATAAGATATTTTAAAAAATAGAACTGTAAAAGAACTTTACTCAAATTTCAAAAATTGAGAGTGATATTATATGTATTATTAAGATCTTATATAGGTAAAACATTAATTTTTTTATTATTAAATTATAAATATTTATTTATAATTAATCTTAGTTTATTGCATTATTAATTATTTTTTTAATTTAAAAACTAAAATTATAAATTTAAACTATTAAGAGATAAAAAATATTAATAATATTTATACTTTTTCTTATTTTACTAAACCATTATTCTAATTCAAAAATTTATATTTTTTATTATATTAATATATTATTTATTATTATATTTATAAAATCTATATTATTATATTTTATATTATATAAGCTTTTATATATTTTATATATATTCTATTTTTAATTTTCAACAATTTATATATTATATAATATTTTTGTATATATATTATTATAATTTATTAGAATTATAATTATTACAAAGTTTATTATTATTTTTTTTTATTATTTTATATTTCTTATACTTTTAAATCTTTTAATAATTTGAATTTTTATAAATATATTTTTATGTAAACTTTATATAAATTTATATAAATACAATGATCATCTAAATTATTACATTATCTAAATATAAAATATAAAAGTTCAAGCAAAATATTTTGATCAAAATGATTAAACAAACTTTCTATTAGCTAAATTAAATTTATATTATATAAAAAACTATTAATTTCATTAAAAAATTGAAAACATGCCTTGCATAATATTTAAACTAAAGTTAAACTAAAATAGATTAGTTAAAAGTCTTATGAAATAATAAATTCATATTTTTTTAATTTTAACAAGACTATTTTAGTAAAGTGTGATATAAACTAATGAATGAATGGATTTATTCTATATTTTAGCTACAATAAAATATAATTTTAATTAAATGTATTAAGGCTATTTTTAAGAAAAAAAGTATAGAATTAATTGTTTTATTATCTAAAATAGTAACTGGTAATTTATATGTTATTATTCTTCATAAATATATTATTTTGACTATAAAATAACCTTTTCAAATAACAATAGCTAATTTTAAGAAGATAATACTTAATCTTACAAATTAAAGGTTGCAATAATTTTTTAAATAAAAATAATATTTATATATTATCTTAACCAGCTTAAAATTCTAATCTCAATCCAATTGAAATCTTTAAGTTAAAGTTAAAAAAAAGTATTTAAATATATAAAGCCTTTTATCTAATCTTGTTAATTTTAATTAATATATTAAAAAGGTATAGAAAGAAATTCTGAATATATACTATTAAAAAATTAGTTGATAATATATTATAACAAATTCAAGCTATTATTATAAAAGATAGTGATTTAATTAATTATTATAAAATGTAGACCTTAATCAGCTTTAATAAAATATTTATTGATCTTTTATTATTAATGCTTAAATAATTTTAAGTTTTATATTGAATAAAAATTTGTATAAAAACTTTTATCTATCCTCTATAAATTTACTTATTAAATTTATTTTAAATTTGATAATGTTTAAATTTTTAATTTTGCTAATTTTTACTAAAATTTTGATATAGTTTCATCATTTTTATAATTTTTAATATAATTTTTATCTTTTTCTGAATTTTCAATTTTTTTAATAAGATTTTAATATAATTTTACTAAATTTTATCTTATTTTATACTATTTA